GCGGCCCTCACGGACCGCGTCGAAATTCCTTCTAGCTATTCTTCAGCTGCAAGGCAGCGCCATCTCTTCGCATTATAGGTAAACCCACAATGTCAAATGAATACTTTTACAAGTATTAAACATTTGAAAGAAGAAATAGCAATTATAGTTATAATTTTTATTATTTTTAAAGCATGTAACTGCTTGATGTTTAAATCTAAAAAAAATATAACTAGAAAAAATTCCACGCGGACCAGGCAGCAGACGGGACTCGAACCCGCACCCTTCGCAATCCGGGCGAATGCACTGACCAATTATGCTACCGCGGCCCTCACGGACCGCGTCGAAATTCCTTCTAGCTATTCTTCAGCTGCAAGGCAGCGCCATCTCTTCGCATTATAGGTAAACCCACAATGTCAAATGAATACTTTTACAAGTATTAAACATTTGAAAGAAGAAATAGCAATTATAGTTATAATTTTTATTATTTTTAAAGCATGTAACTGCTTGATGTTTAAATCTAAAGAAAATATAACTAGAAAAAATTCCACGCGGACCAGGCAGCAGACGGGACTCGAACCCGCACCCTTCGCAATCCGGGCGAATGCACTGACCAATTATGCTACCGCGGCCCTCACGGACCGCGTCGAAATTCCTTCTAGCTATTCTTCAGCTGCAAGGCAGCGCCATCTCTTCGCATTATAGGTAAACCCACAATGTCAAATGAATACTTTTACAAGTATTAAACATTTGAAAGAAGAAATAGCAATTATAGTTATAATTTTTATTATTTTTAAAGCATGTAACTGCTTGATGTTGAATTTCGACGCGGTCCGTGAGGGCCGCGGTAGCATAATTGGTCAGTGCATTCGCCCGGATTGCGAAGGGTGCGGGTTCGAGTCCCGTCTGCTGCCTGGTCCGCGTGGAATTTTTTTCTAGTTATATTTTCTTTAGATTTAAACATCAAGCAGTTACATGCTTTAAAATAATAAAAATTATAACTATAATTGCTATTTCTTCTTTCAAATGTTTAATACTTGTAAAAGTATTCATTTGACATTGTGGGTTTACCTATAATGCGAAGAGATGGCGCTGCCTTGCAGCTGAAGAATAGCTAGAAGGAATTTCGACGCGGTCCGTGAGGGCCGCGGTAGCATAATTGGTCAGTGCATTCGCCTGGATTGCGAAGGGTGCGGGTTCGAGTCCCGTCTGCTGCCTGGTCCGCGTGGAATTTTTTCTAGTTATATTTTCTTTAGATTTAAACATCAAGCAGTTACATGCTTTAAAAATAATAAAAATTATAACTATAATTGCTATTTCTTCTTTCAAATGTTTAATACTTGTAAAAGTATTCATTTGACATTGTGGGTTTACCTATAATGCGAAGAGATGGCGCTGCCTTGCAGCTGAAGAATAGCTAGAAGGAATTTCGACGCGGTCCGTGAGGGCCGCGGTAGCATAATTGGTCAGTGCATTCGCCCGGATTGCGAAGGGTGCGGGTTCGAGTCCCGTCTGCTGCCTGGTCCGCGTGGAATTTTTTTTTCTAGTTATATTTTCTTTAGATTTAAACATCAAGCAGTTACATGCTTTAAAAATAATAAAAATTATAACTATAATTGCTATTTCTTCTTTCAAATGTTTAATACTTGTAAAAGTATTCATTTGACATTGTGGGTTTACCTATAATGCGAAGAGATGGCGCTGCCTTGCAGCTGAAGAATAGCTAGAAGGAATTTCGACGCGGTCCGTGAGGGCCGCGGTAGCATAATTGGTCAGTGCATTCGCCCGGATTGCGAAGGGTGCGGGTTCGAGTCCCGTCTGCTGCCTGGTCCGCGTGGAATTTTTTCTAGTTATATTTTCTTTAGATTTAAACATCAAGCAGTTACATGCTTTAAAAATAATAAAAATTATAACTATAATTGCTATTTCTTCTTTCAAATGTTTAATACTTGTAAAAGTATTCATTTGACATTGTGGGTTTACCTATAATGCGAAGAGATGGCGCTGCCTTGCAGCTGAAGAATAGCTAGAAGGAATTTCGACGCGGTCCGTGAGGGCCGCGGTAGCATAATTGGTCAGTGCATTCGCCCGGATTGCGAAGGGTGCGGGTTCGAGTCCCGTCTGCTGCCTGGTCCGCGTGGAATTTTTTCTAGTTATATTTTCTTTAGATTTTACATTAAACTTTTTACAATTGTTGTTGTTGGAATGTTGATAAATTATGTAATTATAATTATCAGACTATTATCATTTTTTTAAATATTAATTAAATCAACATCGTCTGCATTATTAATTACAGTGACAAGTGGTTTATGGTAACTAAAATAAGACACATGGACGTTCGTAGATACGTGGTTCACGAATCTTGAAAATACCGCATCAATGGTTGTACCATAACTCGTTGTCCCCATTGCTCTATCAGAAACAATATCTAAATCCAGTTCAGATTTAAAAAAAAAAATAATGTCAATCCGTCATCTTTGTTTGTCAAAGTTGCGCGACATAGGATGCGCACCAAAAACGTAACGAGGTCATACATCGATAGATTTTACTCCTCACATTTTTCTCATACCGGGCCCCTTATATAAGCAAATCGATTCTTAAAGAGTAAACTCCAAAAAATCACATTCAGCAAATACTGGAAGGTATGATTTAAAAAAACAGGGATAAAAATCCCTGGTATTTTAATCAAACTGATCGCATTTAATGTATTAGAAAATCGTGTTATTTAACGACATTATAAAATTAATATTTCATACTTTTACATGTGGAAATGTCACCCGAAGGAAGATTATCGCACACAATAACCTTATACGCCCGTGAAGCTTCAATTCAATTGTAATTCCTTTTGACAACTTTATACAACTTTTATAAAGCCCATTAGAATTGAGCGAGCCTATACATCACTTTGATCCGATCTATCCATGAAAGGATTGCGATATATCGATTCTATACTTGTTTATTTATCAATTTGACATAGTCGCAGTTTAGTATTGCGAATCTGAAATCGATTTGTGTGAGAATTGAATATGGGAATCGCACGATGGATTATCGTGGTACGGTAAAGTTGCGCTGGTATTTTAATTAGAGTGCGAATTGGGTAATTTATTCTTTAGTAAAAACAAATTTGGATGATAAAAGTTTTGATATTAATTTTGGAGATTTGTTCTGTGCAGTATAGAAGTATGAACATATAATTAATTTTATAAAAGAAGAAATCGGAATTGTCTATTTTTCGGTGCTCCTGATAAAAATAAGAAATGTCATTTGATAAAACAAGTTTCAACGGTATAGATGCACTGATTTATTTATTTATTTATAACGTGATCAAAAATTTACTATCTCGAGCTCCTCCGTGCTTCGGAAGGCACGTTAAGCTTGTTGTTCCCGGCTGCATCTGCAGTCGTTAGAACCCACAAATCCGCACTGGGCCCGCGCGGGTGGGTCATGGCTCAATCTCTCTATTCCATCCATAGGGAAGGCCTGTGCCCCAGCAGTTGGGACATTAATAGGCTGATGATGATGATTATGATATAACGTTTTGCATCCTTTTCAGGCTGCGTCGCCAGAATTATGATTTTATTTACTTTGTCGAGCTACCTTCGAAAAAAAGTGATTTTCTGAAATGGATGCGAAACGTCATATATTAATAAATTAGTGCATCTATACCTTTGAAACTTGTTTTATTAAATGACGCTACTTATTTTTATCAGGATGACAGAAAATCTAAGAAACAAATAGCGTCATATATTTTGGGGTTTCGTGATGAAAGAGTGATATTGGAGCCTTAGGCCTCCGCTGTGCGTAGTGGGCTCTCATTACCTGTTAAACATACTCGTATATTTATGATTTTATTTATTTTTTAAGCATTTAACTGCTAGATGTTTAAATCTAAAATCTTGATCTTGATCTAAGATCTTGAAAAAGTATTCATTTGACATTGTGGGTTACCTACAATGCGAAGAGATGGCGCTGCCTTGCAGCTTAAGGCTAGGAAAATTTCGACGCGGCTAATAGGGCCGTGGTAGCATAATGGTCAGTGCATTCGCCCGGATAGCGAAGGATGCGGGTTCGAGTCCCGTCCGCTGCCTGGTCCGAGTGGATTTTTTTCTAGTAAACTTTTCTTTAGATACTCGTATATTTTTGAAATATTTACAGAATCTATATTTCTATGAGTGAGTTTGATGTCTCGAGCTCCTCCGTGCTCCTTGAGGCATTTAAAGCCTGTACTCGTTATCGAACAATAATTCGCACTTTTTTGTATTATAGGAGGCATACGAGCTGACGCCTAACCTGATGGTTAGTAAGCACCATCACCTATATGCACCTGTACAACACCAGGAGTATCACAAATGCGGTACCGACATGTAAAAAAACAGTACGCTCATTTTTTGAAAGTTTTTTGGTCGCCAGCAGTGTTTCCGGACCAATAGTCCGGAAACACTGCTGGCGACAATGTAATCCACATTTTGAGGTGGAACATTCCACTCAAAGGGGTGGCTTATGACTCAAGAGTAGGGACTATTTGGGTGTGTGGTGATGACGATATTTCTATAGCTGCTGTTACAACAAGAAACGTGATATTTTCGATGTTCCTTTTGCATGATTTAATGTTTACAATTATTCAATGATACCGATCTTTTGGAGTTCGCGTCTGACTTGCATTAGCTATTTTTTCAATCAAATCTTTGATGATACTAAAAGAGAAATTATGTGACTGTTTTTCTAAGTGAACGTGTTGCAAACTCAACTCTTTTTTTTTCTATGTTAAAAAGATGGCAAACAAGCGTATGGCCCACCTGATGGTAAGCGGGCACCATAGCCTATAGACGGTTGCTATACTAAAGATATCAAGGACTGCTATACTCAAGATATCAAGGATTGCTATACTCAAGATATCAAGGATTGCTATACTAAAGATATCAAGTGTTGCTATACTAAAGATATCAAGGATTGCTATACTCAAGATATCAAGGATTGCTATATTAAAGATATCACGGATTTCTTTACCAAAGATATCAAGGATGCTATGCTATACTAAAGATATCAAGGACTGCTATACTAAAGATATCAAGGATTGCTATACTAAAGATATCAAGGACTGCTATACTAAAGATATCAAGGATTGCTATACTAAAGATATCAAGGATTGCTATACTAAAGATATCAAGGATTTCTTTACCATAGATATCAAGGATTGCTATACTAAAGATATCAAGGATTGCTATACTAAAGATATCAAGGATTTCTTTACCATAGATATCAAGGATTGCTATACTAAAGATATCAAGGATTGCTATACTAAAGATATCAAGGATTGCTATACTAAAGATATCAAGGATTGCTATACTAAAGATATCAAGGATTGCTATACTAAAGATATCAAGGTCTGCTATACTAAAGATATCAAGGACTGCTATACTAAAGATATCAAGGACTGCTAAACTAAAGATATCAAGGATTGCTATACTAAAGATATCAAGGTCTGCTATACTAAAGATATCAAGGACTGCTAAACTAAAGATATCAAGGATTGCTATACTAAAGATATCAAGGATTGCTATACTAAAGATATCAAGGACTGCTATACTACAGATATCAAGGATTGCTATACTAAATATATCAAGGATTTCATTACCATATATCTAGGATTGCTATACTAAAGATATCAGTCGCACCGTTGCCTTTATTATTTATCATCACCTATCCCATACCCCGTGGAGCCCTGGAACCTTCTTACTCACCGACAGAACAACAACACCACCAAAAGGTACTGCTATTTTAATGTGATCTTCTGTAAGTTGGAGGTTATTGCTCCAGACAGGCGTTCTAACTCGAGCGGAAAATCCGCTATGCTCTACCTCTCTTCTATATATATTTTGATAGTTTATTATCGTGCTGGGACTCTTTATGTGTAGTTACCTGTACGGTGCAAGGCACAGTTGACTCAGTGTGGGGGCCAAGTTTATTGCTAGTTTTATGGGTTTTGCGACTTCTGCTAGTATGACCACTGAGTCTGCGTTTATGGACATCAAGAATAAGCACTGTATTTTTAAATAATAAAATAAATGTTCCGTAAATATTCACTGAACTTAAAACATTATTCGGTACTGGCGTAGCAGCAGCGAGGGAATTACTGAGTAGCAACTTTTTTGAGTATCAATTTTATGTATAATACTGTTTTTTTATTCATTATTTATGCTTGCATGATTTTAATTATGTAGTTTCAAAGTGTTTCGAAATTGATCTGAGTTATGCTGGTATGTAGTATATTTGTTATTGTGTTATTATTATTATTATGCTAATTAAACTGTATGGTTGTAATGTATTTTTTTAAGCATTTAACTGCTAGATGTTTAGATGTAAAGAAAATTTTACTAGAAAAAAATCCACGCGGATCAGGCAGCAGACGGGGCTTTTATGGTTATTTTTGGACTACCTAACATTGTATTATACTCTTTATTGCATCATATAGTTTCAAACATATAGTCAAATACATAGTAAACAAAGGTGGGCTTATCTCTAAAAGAGATCTCTTCCAGCCAACCTAGGTGGTGTCGGAGATTCAAAACTTTTCCCGCTAAGTTTTGAATCTCCGACACAGAAAGCCAGAAAGTGCAATAAAAATTAAACTAAAAATAATTTATTACTAATGTATACCTTCTTTTTGTAAATTACTACCTTTTGTATTGTCATTAATGAGGATTTAAAATAGCTCTCTACTATTTTTATGTAGCCTTACTATATATTATCAGCTATTGGTCTTCCTAAATTTAATAAATAAATTGGAATTCATTTTCAATGTAAACGGCGCTGCAGTCAACAGCTTTACTTATTTGCATTAGGGAACATTTTGTCAGTTTTAGGAATGATTAAAAAACTGGAGTCCGAAAGTTACTAACCTATAAAGGTTAGTATTTGCCATAGCCATATAAAGCCGGTTTTGTATTAAAATCACTCAAAAGAAACTAAACAAATTCATGATTTTATTGAGAATGCTTTTTTTCGACTTGAAGAATCACTATTAAGTTCTTATTAAAGTGTCGCCGCACACGGGCCACACGCCACAGCCACAAACGCCGCCACGAGAAGCTAGAAGCGGCTACTAAAGTGGCTGAAGCGTGCGACAGCGGCCGACAAAGGTGAGGGAGTGTGTATCGCCGCACACGGGTCACCGACCACAACCACAAAACGCCGCCACGAGAAGCTAAAAGCGGCTACTAAAGTGGCTGAAGCGCCCGACAGCGGCCGACTAAGGTAAGGGAATCGCGCGAGTGACGTGTGGCGGCGTTTTGTATCGGCGCATCAAGAGGCCGGTGCGGGCCACAAGAAGCGAGCAACGATTGATTGAACGATTTGTAGCGTGTGGCGGCCACCGGCGTACCGTGTGTGGCAAGTCCATATAAAATGTATGAAAACCACAAGAAATATGCCGGTGGCGGCGTTTTGTGGTTGTGGTCAGTGGCCCGTGTGCGGCGACACTTAGGAACCCATCTTATGTTAGTTTGAATAGTAGTTGCGCGGTTTTTATGTTAAAAGGGTAGCGACGTTGCCTACCCTGACCCAATCCTCTACCTTGTGGAGTCCTGGAACCTTACTCACAGACAGAAACACAACACCACCAAAACGTAGTGATATTTTGGACATAGTGTTTCTTGTAATTTGTTATTTGATGGGTATGAGTCAGTTTTTGAAACAGTAATATGGTACCTATCTAATGCCGCTTCCTATATACTAAATATAAAATTTATTGTAACTATATATCTATATCCTTCATAATGTAATGGAAGGTGACTTCAGATGTATCTCTGAAATCATTTTTCAACTTGACGACTCTGTATATATCAATACAGGGAGAAAAAAGCAGCCCTTGCTGAGTTTCTTGCCGGTTCTTCTCAGTACATGGTCTCCCGCCGTAGTTTTGCGAACCGATGGCGTAGCTTCTTGACCTTCACAAGTGCTTGTAACAGCCTAGACTGAATAAATGACTTTTCATTTCATTTCATTTACTGTGGTCTTTTGTAAGATGGAGTTTACTTCGCCAGACGGGCGCTCCAACTCCAGCGGAAAATCCGCTATCTAACTACCTCTCTTGAAACTATCTTTAGATAAGGATTTAGATAAGCTTATTGCAAAATATCTGTTTATATAACAGACAAAAATGCTTCATCATCATCAGCCTATTAATGTCCCCACTGCTGGGGCACAGGCCTTTCCTATGGATGGAATAGGGAGATTGGGCCATGACCCACCAAGCAGGCCCAGTGCGGATTGGTGGGTGCTAATGACTGCAGATGCAGCCGGGACCAACGGCTTAACGTGCCTTCCGAAGCACGGAGGAGCTCGAGATAGTAATTTTTGGTCACCCATCCAATGACCGACCAATGCGAAAGTTGTTTAAGTTCAACGATCGCAGCCGAACGCGCTAACCAATTGCACCATCAAGCTCCAAGACAAAAATGCTTGGGTTTGAACTATTCCAATCATTTCAACAGGTTTTCTATCATGATCATGATTGTACTAACGTTGTAACAACATAATGATTTGTAAATGTTGTTACATTATACTTTTAATGTTGTGTTAACGTTGTAACAACATAATGATGTGTAAATGTTGTTACATGATACTTTTAATGTTGTGTAGTTTTTTTCGCTCGTTTTTTACCGCAGCTAAAAAATATGTCCAATAACGAGTGGTAGGGAAAAAAATTTTAGATGATTCAGAAGAGTTGTTACTTATACATCCAATTTTAATAAGGGTATATATTGATTTCTGAGATGTCTGCAGTTGTTTTGCTACAAGTTCCAAGTTTACGTGGTGACACGGTGAAGTGTTCACACATGAATGGACGGACGGACGGACACTTTGTAGTTGCTTCCTGGTGCAAACAGACCACGCCAACAACTGGAACTGCGTCTCTGAGGAGAGCGCCCATACAATTTTTATTGCGAAGCTAGTAAACTGGTACGTGAATGAATTTCTAAAATTAAAATAAATCATACATACTGCTACAACCTTTGATTGTTTACTGCAACATACAAGTTAGAGGAGCTCGGTGATTAGCGCGGCTGCGATCGTTTAAGTTAAACAACTTTCGCAGTGGTCGGTCATTGGAGGGGTGACCGAACGTAATATTGTCTACAGCACCTTCGTGTTTCGGAAGGCACGCCAACTCCGGAGGAGCTCCTGGCTCCAACTGCAGTTGTTAGCTCCCGCTAATCCGCACTGGCTTTGTGGTACACATCTTCCATTCATAGGGATGGCCTGTGCCCCAGCAGTGGGAACATTAAGAGTCTGATCGTAATTATTTTTTATTTTTATTTTTATTTTATTTATAAATGTACATTAAACAGCCAAAGGCCAGCAAAAATGTACACAGCTGAATAACATAAGTAAACCTTAGTTACCAAAAAGAAAACATAAAAATAAAAAAATAAACATTGATGAAATAGTCTTCAATCCTAAGTGATGAAACAAAGCGGGTGAAAGAAATGAAAACTTGATATTACCAGAGAAAAGTCACTAATTGGGTACGAGTCTAATAAACATTCATGCAATCAACCAAAATGAAATAAAAACATGCATAAAATAAACAATAAATATGTATATATATTTAAAAATTACTAGAGTACTTGTTATTTATTTATTTGCGGACGGGGGACGGGGGGTAAAGTTATAATATATTTATACGTTTATAAACGCTAACAATAGTAGTCTTTTATGCTCGCACTAAATTTAGTCAACATTATACGAACAGTAACTCTGTATAACGTGCGTTTGCTATTGTGGACTCAAATATAATCTGCATTGTTTTTGCTTTATTAAAAGATGTTTTAATTTTCATTGTTTCGAGTCGAGTAAGACGAAATCGGTCGTCCGCTGCTAATCTGAACTGGTGCAATGTCATCCGTCACGCTCGGTAAAAAGTACACTCATGAACATAATCTGAATTATAATTTTTAATACTCTGCACTTTAACCCTCAAGAGATGCATGATAAAATTTTCACCTTCATTTACTACTAGATATGTCCCGCGGTGTTACCCGCGGTTTTAAGAGATATTTTCCTGCAGTAAAAAGTAGACTATGTGTAAATCCAGGGTGCCAGCTAACTCCATACCAAATTTTATTAAAATCGCTCCAGCCGTTTAGACGTGAAGAAGTAACAAACATACACACTCACAAACTTTCGCCTTTATAATATTAGTGTGATTATGGGCTTTATCTGCCTTGATAAAGATGTTGAATAAAGTTAAAACTGGTTTAAAACTGTTGCTGTCACTTTTGTTTGGTAAAAAAAAGACAGAGATAGCATTAGGTTTAATACAACCGCCCCTGGCTAGGCCGGGAGGCTGTTGGATGCATAGATGCGGTAAAGTACCTCAACGGGGATCTCGGTCTCGGTCGAGCGGTCCTGCACTTGACAGCTTAGAGGGTATTTTAGT